ACATTATAAAGATCATATACTATGATCAAGTAGGATTTATTTCTGGGATGCAAGGTTGATTCAATATCTGCAAACCAATTAATGTGATGTACCACATAAACAAAGTGAAGGATAAAAATCATATGGTCATATTGATAGAGAAGAAGCATATGATAAAATCTAACACCCATTAATCAGAAAAACTCTCAACATAGTGAGAACAGAGGGATCATACCTCAACATAATAAAAGGGCTTATGAGACAAACCCACAGCTAACATCATATTCAATGGAGAAAAGCCGAAAGCATTTTCTTAATATCAGGAACAAGACAAGGTTGTCCATTTTTACCACTTTCATTCACCATAGGATTAGAAGTCCTAGCCACAAAAATCACACAAGAAAAGAAAATTAAAGTCATCCAGGTTGAAAAGGAAGAAGTAAAGGTGTCATTATTTGCAGATGACATATACTAGATAGAGAAAACCCCAAAGATTCAACCAAAAAAACAAAACCCCCCAAAACCCAAAATAATTAGAACTGATGAATTCAGTAAAGTAGTAGGATACAAAATTAATATTTAGAAATCAGTTGAATTTTATACACAAATAATGAGCTATCAGAAATTGTTAAAGAAACAATCCCATTTACAATTGCATAAAAATAAAATATCTAGGAATAAATTTAACCAAGGAAGTAGAAGACCTGTACTCCAAAAATTATGATACTGAAGAAAGAAATTGAATACACAAAATGGAAGCATATACCATACTCACCTATAGGAAGAATTAACATCATTAAAATGTCTATATTACCCAAAATAATCTATTGGTTCAATGCAATCCCTCTCAAGATACCAATGGCATACTTCACAGAACTATCACAAGTATTCTAAAAATTTATATGAAACCACAAAAGACCCCAAATGGCCACAGCAATCTGGAGGAAGAAGAGCAAAGTTGGAGGAATCATACTATCTACTAGCAAACTATACTATAAGCCTACAGTGATCAAAACATCATAGTGTGGCACAAAAACAGACACATAGGTCGATGGAATAGAATTGAGAGCCCAGAAATGAACCCATGCCTATATGGTCAATTAATACATAACAAAGGAGGCAAGAATATACAATGGGATAAAGACAGTCTATTCCATAAATTGTGTTGGAAAAATTGGACAGATACAGGCAAAAAAGAAACCAGACCACCTTCTTACAATATATACAAGAATAAAGTAGAAATGGATTAAAGAGTTACATAAGATTCAAAACCATAACACTCCTGGAAGAAAACATAGGGAAACTTTCTGGCAATGGTTTTTAGATACCACTCAAAATCACGAGTAACAAAAGAAACATATTGAAATTAAACTTTATCAAAATGAAAAGCTTTTGTGCATTAAATGATACCATCATGAAACTGAAAAGACAACTCACAGAATGGGAAAAATATGTGCATACCACATATCAGGTAAGCCTGATAAGGGACCTGTATAATTGTTTCTTATATACAAAGAACTCTTATAACTCAATAATAAAAGATACTCAATTAAAAAGAAAGGAATATGAATATACATTTATCTAAAAAAAGATATATACAAATTTCCATTAAGTACATGAAAAGATTCTGATCACAGGTCACTAGGGAAATGCAAATCAAAACTACAAGAAGATAACACTTTGCATATTGGAATAATTATAATACAAACACAGAGAATATCAAGTTTGGGGAGGATGTAAAGAAGTTGGAATCCTTACATATTGCTAGCTGAAATATAAAACAGCACAGATGCTTTGGGAAAAAGTTGGCAGCTTCTCAAAATGTTAAACATACATGAAGCAGCAAGATGGTGGTAGAGTAGAAGAGTTTATTTTTCACTGCCTCCCAGAACCAATCTGAAAATAAAAATAAAGAGGGGAACATCCACCTGAAATCAGCTGAGGACTACCCGAGGAGGAGATATGTAACCAAGCACAGGCAGAAACCACCTCATGACCAGCAGAAAGGGCCGGGACACAAAAGGGGCCAGCACCACTTTTACAGGTATTGGTTGCTGGGCTGAGGGAGCTTCCCACTGAGGGGAGTGAGGCCTGGACAGACTGGGCTCCCAAGCACAGAGTGCCAGTGTTGGGATCACCTGTCCATACAGCATCCAGAGTTGAAAGGCCAGCATCCAGAGGTTTCCTTTGCCTGCTGGAGAAAGACAGAGCCTGCTGGGGACAGCCCCATTTTTTTTCCTTGTTTGTTCCAAGGGCCCAAAACACAAGTTTTGTGTTCCCAGCTATTCTCCTTTGGCTTGGGCAGAGGGAGGGCAGGACGGTCTGGAGTTGTACAAGGAGAATCAGGAGTGGGAGGCTTAGGGGCAAGGCATGGGGGAGCGGCTGCTGGGCTCCCAGGGCTGGCATATAACACCATACTGCAGCAGCCATTTTTCGTGAGAAAAGCAAGCCCCTCCCAGAAGAAAAACAATGACCCCACCCTGTGGGAAAACCACTTGCCCCAGAGTCCTCTGAAAGTTTCCTACCCCATCATCTGGAACCCTGCTTGCCACACCTGTTGAAATCCTGCTTGCTCCATCTTTCTTACTTTCCCCAACCTGAATCTTATCTCCTGCTGAGAAGACAGCAACACAGGCTGACTCAGGGGTTTTATAGACTGGCTTTAGGGCATGGTCATTCCATATACTTTCTCAGGAACCAGACTGACACTTACCTCTCACAGGAGACCCTAGGAAGTCCATCGGACCCAAACTCTGGGCTCTGGAGGCCCCACGTGCTACCCTACCAGGGGCTTTACTGCCAAGTTCAGGGAATAATATGGGACAGACACAGACATGTGAACACACCCACCATCTTCCCTGAAATCTGAATGGCACCTCCCACAGGAGATCCAGGGGTCCCATCCTCCTGATTCCACCAGAAGCCCTCTCAGAAACAGAAAAGCCAACAGCTAGATTAAGAGTAACAGCAGGGCTACAGGTGGAAGCAGGTGGTGTTGATGCCTGTGGTGCTTTTGGTCATTTGTTGACCCACCCCTGGGCCTTGTACTGATAAGGAGCCAGCAGTACAGAGCATTGAGGACCACACTGGACACAGCCAAAACTGAAGGACATAGCCACAGACTGTGGATCACTCATAGCTTCAAACAGGCTGCCGAGAGCTGGATGGGGAAAGAATCTGACACTGGGTTACACCAGCTTCAGAACACCAGAGGCATATCCAGAAGGAAAAGCAACCAGACAAACACTAAACTCTGCTGAGATGAATTCCACCTTGATCTTTTTCATTATTTGTGTTATTTCTTCTTTCCTATAGCTTTTTAACAGTTTTTCTTTTTCTTTAATTTTGTTCCTATTTTTTTCATTCTTTTTTCATTTCTCATATTTCACTCTCCCCTTTTCTTACTCCATTTCTGTCTTCTTCCATTTCTTATTTTTGTTTTAAATTTTATTTTTCCCTTTCTTCACCTTATTTCTATTTCTATTCCTTACTCTTATTATTTCTCTTCCCTCTATCCTCTCAAAACCATTTTTCTTTCCTTTAGTCACTAATATTTTTTATTTTTTTAAAGATTTTATTTATTTATTTTTAGAGAGGGAAGGGAGGGAGAAAGAGAGAGAGAAACATCAATGTGCCGTTGCTGGGGGCCATGGCCTGCAACCCAGGCATGTGCCCTGACTGGGAATCAAACCTACGATGCTTTGGTTAGCAGCCCACACTCAATCCACTGAGCTATGCCAACCAGCGCCATATTTTTTATTTTTTATAATATTCTTATTTTCCTTCCACCTTTATTAATTTTGCTTATTTGTCAATGATATTGCTGTTTTTGTTGGAGTGTATTTTTGCTGGTGTGGGTTTTTGTCTTCTGTATTGTTTTCTTTTGTTCTGTCAGCACCTGTACATTAGCATACAAGACGTGGTGGGGGTTGAGACTCTCAGTCAGCCAGCTGGAGGGGAGAATCCACCAACAAATGAGCCAACAACAATCAAAACCCAATTACAACAGGAGAGCCCACATAAACTGCATAAATGGCATCCCCAGAGCATCCATTTCAGGAGAGTAAGGAGACTGTGTCACTAAGCCCCACAGGACTCCTACCACAGAAGTCCACTCCATGAAGACAGGGAGTCAAAGCAGATCAATCTAATACATAGAAATAAACAAAAAGTGTCACTTAAAATTGGGAGGCAAAGAAACAACCCACAATAGAAAGGAAAGGAGGAATCCACAGAAAAAGAGGTCAAGGAATTTTATGGGAGCTACAAGGAACTTAGTGGAAACTATAGCAGCATGAAAAAAAGACATAGAAACTACGAATAAGAACCAGGTAGAAATGAAGAATACAATACCTGAAATGGAGAATACACTAGAAAGAATTAAAAGCAAGCTAGATAAAGCATAGGATTGAATCATGAGTTGGAAGACAAGGTAGAACAAAACACCAAGTCACAGCAACAAAACACCAAGTCAGAGCAACAAAACAAAAAAAGACTAAAAAAGAATGAAGATGGTTTAAAGGAGCTTTGGGACAACATGAAATGTAACAATATTCACATCACAGGGGTACCAGAAGAAGAAGAAAGGGAACAAAGGATAGAAAACCTGTTTGAAAAAATGACAGAAAACTTCCCTAATGTGGTAAAGGAAAAAGTCACGCAAATTCAGGAACAGCAGAGGGTCCCAAGCAAGGTGAACCCAAAGAGGGCTGTGCCAAAACACATCACAATTAACATGGCAAAAATTTAGAAAGAAAGAGAGAGACTTTTTTATGAACTAAAAAAGAAATTTGTTTATTAAAGGCAAGGGGATGCAAGCAATATACAAAATTAAAAGTTTATTTGGCTTTAATTGGCTTTTCTTTCTCTTGTCAAATGGGGGTCAGATTTCATTTGTACATTTTCTAAGGGCCCCAATCTGCTTATGAAATCCTCATACAGGGGGAAGCTGTGGGGCAGAGATTCATTAAGCAACCCATTGGGAGAACTCTTTATCAGGGAGGAAGTAGCTACTCATCTGCCTACTTCTTTCCCTTCTGCTTCGTGTGTACTACAAAATAGTCATTGCATGCCATGGTGAGCCCAGCAATTAGCAAAAAGACACTCTGGAAGCCCACTCAGCCATGTCAGCACTGGTCCAAGTCTTTCATTATTTTGTCTATGGCAAGAGGGTCTTTTCGATTTTCCAAAAACCCAGGGAACTCCTTTTCCATGAGTACTCTCAGGTCATCCTTTGTTAAGTAGCCTTCATCCCCAGCGAATTTGTGAAATGTGAACATCATGGTTTCCATGGCGTGTTCCATTTGAGATGGCATTTTGGTGAGGTCTAGTGTGACAGGATCACTAGGCTGGCTGGGATGTGAGGCCAGTGTCCAGAAAGAGAATCTTAAAGGCAGCAAGGGAGAAACAGCTAGTAACATACAAGGGAGCCTGCTAAGGATATTTGCTGATTTCTCAACAGAAACACTACAAGCCAGAGGGACTGGCATGAAATATTCTAAGGAATAAAAAGTACAGACTGGCAACCAAGATGAGTCTATCCAGCAAGGCTCTGATTTACAATGGAAGGTAAAATAAAGAGGTTCCCAGATGGTCCCCCACCCAAAAAAACCCACAAAAAAACAAGGGTAAAAGAGTACATGTACATCAAACCACCATGGTAAGAGATATTAACAGGACTGCTTTAAGAAGAAGAAATAGAGAGAGAGAAACACAGGTACAAAGGGAAAAATGGCAATGAATAAGTACCTATTAATAATAACCTTAAATGTAGATGGATTAAATGCTCCAATCAAAACACATAGGGTATCTGAAAGGATAAGAAAACACAACCCTCATATATGTTGTCTATAAGAGACCCATCCTATCTTAAAACAAAAGATTTATACAGACTGAAAGTGAAGGGATGGAAAAAATACTCCATACAAATGGATGTGAAAAAAAAAAAGGCTGTGGTAGTAATACTTATATCAGACAAAATAGACATAAAAACAAAGGCAATAACAAGAGACAAAGAAGGTCACTACATAATACTTAAGGGAGTAGTCAAACAACAGGATACAACCCTTGTAAACATATGTGCACCCAACACAGGAGCACCTACATATTTAAAGAAAATCTTAGGACTTTAAGAAAGAGATTGACAGCAATACCGTTATTATAGGGGGGTTTAACACCCCACTGCCAACAATAGGTATATCTTCCAAACAAAAAATCAAGGATTTTGTAGCATTAAACAATACTCTAGATCAAATGGCCTTAATTTATATTTACAAAACATTTCACCCTAAAGAGGAAAAATACACATTCTTCTGAAATGCCTATGGACCATTTCTAAGAAAGACCACATGGTAGGACACAAAACAAGCCCTAACAAATTCAAGAAAATTAAAATCATAATCAAAATATCTTCTTGGATCATAATGGCTTGAAGCTAGAAACTAACCTCAAGATAAAACTCAAAAACATTCAAATACATGGAGGCTGAATAACATGTTATTAAATAATGAATGGGTTAACAATGAGATCAAGGAAGAAATCAAAAAGTATCTGGAAACAAATGAATATGAACACACAACAACCCCAAACCTATGGTACACAGTGAAGGCAGTCCTGAGAGGGAAGTTCATAGCATTATAGACCTACCTAAAGAGGATAGAAAAAATCTGAAATGAACACCCTAATCCTACACCAAAAAGAACTAGGAAAACAACAACAAACAAAGCCCAGAGTGAGTAGAAGGAAGGAAATAATTAAGATCAGAGCAGAATTAAATGACATAGAGACTAAAAAACAATTAGAAAGATCAATGAATATAAAAGCTGATTCTTTGAAAAGATAAACAAGATTGATAAACCTTTAACAAGACTCATCAAGAGAAAAGGAGAGAGGACCCAAATAAATAAAATCAGAAAAGAAAGAGGAGAAATAACAATCAACACCAAAGAAATACAAAGGGTTGTAAGAAAATATGAACAACGATATGCCAACAAACTAGACAACCTGGATGAAATGGATAAATTTCTAGAAACATATAATATTCAAAAACTGAAGATTGGAAACAGGAAACAGAAAACTTAAATAGGCCAATAACAACCAGTGAAACTGAAGCAGTAATAAAAAAAATACTACCGACACCCAAAAACCCTGAACCAGAAGGCTTCACAGGTCAATTTTACCAAACAGTCAAAGAAGAGCTAACTCCTAGCCTTCTGAAACTATCACAGAAAATTCAAGAAGAGAGAAGAGTCATAAACTCTTTTTACAAGGCCAGTATTATCCTAATTCTAAAACCAGGTAAAGATACAACACTGAAAGAAAATTATAGGCCAATACCTCTGATGAACATAGATGCTAAAATCCTCTACAAAATATTTAGCAAACTAGATTCAGCAATATGTTAAAAAGATCATATACCATGATCAAGTGGGATTTATTCCAGGAATTCATGGATAGCACAATATTCACAAATCTATAAATGTAGTACATCACATAAACAAAATGAAAGACAAAAATCACATGATAATATAATTAGATACAGAAAAAGCATTTGATCAACTCCAGCACCCACTTATGATAAAAACACTCAGCAAAATGGGAACAAAGGGAGCATACCTCAACATAATAAAGGCCACATATGAAAAACCTACTGCCAGCATCACACTCAATGGGAAAAAAACTAGAAGTGTTTCCCTTAAGATCAGTAACAAGACAAGTGTATCTGCTTTCACCACTCTTACTCAACATAGTACTGGAAGTCCTAGCTGCAGTGATCAAACAAGAAAAAGAAATAAAGGGGATCTAAATTGGAAAGGAGGAAGTAAATCTGCCATTATTTGCAGACAACACAATAGTGTACATAGAGAATCCTATAGGCTCTACCAGAAATTATTCAACCTAATAAGTGAATTCAGCAAAGTGGCAGGGTACAAGTTACTATTCAGAAATTGATGGCACTTTTGTACACCAACAATAAACTATCAGAAGAAAAACTAAGAAAAAATCCCATTTACTATAACAACAAAAAAATAAAGTACTTAGGATTAAATATAACCAAGGAGGTAAAAGACCTGTACTCAGAAAACTATAGAACAGTGAAGAAACTGAGGAAGATACAAATAAATGGAAGCATGTACCATGATCATGGATTGGAAGAATTAACATCATTAAAATATCCTTGCTACCCAAAGTAATCTATAGGTTCAAAGCAATTCTCATAAAAATACTAATGGCATATTTCACAGATCTAGAACAAATATTCCAAAAATTATATGGAATAAAAAAAGACCCCAAATAGCCTGAAGAATCTTGAGAAAGAGGAACAAAGTCAAAGGGAACACAATACTCGATATCAAACTATACTACAAGGCCACTGTAATCAAAACAGCCTGGTACTGGCATAAGAACAGGCACATGGATCAATGGAACAGAATTGAGAGCAGAGAAATAAACACATGTCTCTATGGTCAATTACTATTTGACAAAAGGGACACGAGCATACAGTGGATGAAAATAATCTCTTCAATAACAGTATTGGGAGAACTGGACTGGTACATGCAAAAGAATGAAACTAGACCAACAGCTTGTACCATACACCAGAATAAACTTAAAATGGATAAAAGACTTAAATATAAGTCATGATACCATAAAAAGCCTAGCAGAAAACATAGGCAGTAAAATTTCAGATTCTCAGGTAACAATATTTTTGCCGATATATGTCCTAGGGCAAGGGAAATAAAGGAAGAAATAAACAAATAGTACTACATAAAATTTAAAAGCTTCTGCACAGCTGAAGAAAACATCATCAAAATGAAAAGGGCACTAATTACATAGGAGAACATATTTGCCAATGATACATTGGACAAATATTTAATCTCCAAAATATATAAAGAACTCATAGGACTTAACACCTGGAAGACAAACAATCCAATTAAAAAACGGGCAAAGGACCTGAACAGACATTTCTCCAAGGAGGACATATAGATGGCCCATAGATATATGAAAAAAATGTTCACCATCACTAGCCATCAGAGAGATGCAAATTTAAAATCACAATGAGGTATCACTTCATACCTGCCAAAATGGCTATCATTAATAAGTCAACAAACAACAAGTGGTGGTGAGGATGTGGAGAAAGAGAAACACTAGTGAACTGTTGGTAGGAATGCAGATTGGTGCAGTCACTGTGGAAATCAGTATGGGATTTCCTCAAAAATTTAAAAATGGAACTATCTTTTGACCCAGTGATTCCACTGTTGGGAATATACCCTAATAATCCTGAAACACCAATTCAAAAGAATTTATGCACCCCTATATTCATAGCAGTGCTATTTACAATAGCCAAGATCTGGAATAGCCTACGTGTCCATCAGTAGATGAGTGGTACAAAAAACTGGTACATTTATATAATGGAATACTACAACAGAAAGAAAAAAGGAACTCCTACCTTTTTTGACAGCATGGGTGGAACTGGAGACTATTATACTAAGTAAAATAAGACAATCAGGGAAGGGCAAATACCATATGATCTCACCTATAAGAGGGATCTAATGAACAAAATAAACTTAGGAGCAAAAGAGAACCAGAGGCATGGAAACATGGAACTAACTAACAGTGGTAAAAGGGGAGGAGGGAAGTGGAAACTGCTTGAAAGATGGGGAAGGAATCAGTCAAGGAACACATATGAAGGACCCCTGGACATGGACAATGGAGTGGAGATGGACTACAGAAGTGGGGGTGGGCTGGGCAGAGGGGCTCAAAGGGGAAAACACTGGGACAACTGTAAGAGCATAAACGATAAAGCATTATAAAAAAAGAAACAGAAAAAATGTTAAACATACGTTAAACATAGTTTCCATAAAATCCACCGATTCCACTCCTAGGTATATATCTAAGAAAAATGACAAATATATGCAGTAACCTGTACACAAATGTTCATAGCAGCATTTCTCATATCTGAAAAGTAGAAACTTGTCCGACTCAAATGTCCACCAGCTAATAAATGGATAAATCAAACAGAATATCCATACAATGAATGGATTATTATTGAACAATAAAAAAGAATGAAGTACTGATACATGTTACAACATGGATGAACCTTGAAAACATGCTATGCTAATCAAATTAAGCGAGCACACAAGGACACATGTTATATGATTCCATTTATACGAACTGCCCAGAACAGGTAAATCTGAGGAGACTTCGAGTTGGTTTGTGATTGCCTAGGATTGGGGTGATGAGGTGGGATGAATTGGAGTGTCTGCTCCTAATGAGTACATGGCTTCTTTTTGGAGTGACAGAAGTGTTCTAAATTTGA